GGAGGTTCCAGAGCACCCAGGAGCACCTTAGATGAAAAGCTTGCTAACATGATTCTGAAAATCCACCAGTGAAGCCCCCATGGAACCTCGCAGTTCCATCCACGAGTGGTCCTAGGGATGTTTCTGCATCAGGCAGCCCTTTGTTCCCTTGTGACCTTCGCCACACTGCCCTTTCGAGCACTGGTCCCTCTCCCCACAGTTGGAGATGGGAATCCAGGGATCCGGACCTCCAAGATAACTTGGGTATTTCCAATCAGTGCCACTTCACAGTCCGTCCATTTCTTCCCACACAATTGCCCTTTTCAGCCAGACAGAAGAAAAGAGCTTTTAGACGGAACATCTGGTAGCGTAGTGGTTACGAATCGGTCTGCGAACCTTAAGGTCAGCGGTTCGAAACTACCAGCTGTTCCGTGGGAGAAAGATGAGGCTTTCTACTCCCGTAAAGATTTACAGCCTCGGAAACCCTGTGCAGGGTCGCTATGGGTCGGAACCGACTCGACGGCACTTAACAACAACAACAAATCTTGGTTGTGGAAGATAAATGGAGGAATGTCATCTTTTGCCTCATTCTCGGAACCTGATCTAATGTTCCCCCTGAAAGAAATAGGGTGACAGGGTCCCCTGACTTCCCTCTACTTCAACTCCACTCTGTCCTCTCCTCGGGTTTGGAGATGAACTCCTGGACTTTCTGTTTGCCTGTGTGTGTGTGTCTGTCGTGGTCTCTTCCAGATACAGGTACACCTTGCTTTGTTGAACTTCGCAGGCGCTGCATATTTTACAGACAGGTTTGTGGCAGCCCTGTGTGACGCAAGTATGTCTACGCCATTTCCCTGACACCGAGTGCTCACTCCCAGTCTCTGTGTCCTGTGTTGGTCCTTCTCACATTGTCTCACATTTTCCATCATACTGTTATTGTCCATGTCACAGACGGCAGTGGAGTGACAGCATCGCTTCAACACACACTGTTGTTGTGAAGTGCTGTCGAGACGGTTCTGACTCAGAGGGACCCTCTGTAGGGTTTCCGAGGAGCAGCTGCTGGGTTTGAACTGCCAACCTTGTAGTTCACAGTCTGCTGCTGATTCTGCTGTACCACACCATGAATCTGTAATATGCACTTGTTGTTGTTAGGGGCCATCGAGTCGGTACCGACTCATAGTGACCCTATGCACAACAGAACGAAACACTGCCCGATCCTGGGCCAACCTCACAATTGTTGCCACGGTTGAACCCATAGATGCTGCCACTTTGCCAATCCATCTCGCTTGGGGTCTTCCTCTTTTCCTCTGACCATCCACCTTACCAAACATGATATCCTTCTCCAGCGACTGGTCCCTCCTGACAATATGTTCAAAGTATGAGAGACGAAGTTTGGCCATGCTGGCCTCCAAGGAGCACTCTGGCTGCACTTCTTCCAACACAGATCTGTTGGTTCTTTTGGCAGCCCATGGCACTTTCAATATTCTCCTCCAACACCATAACTCAAAAGCATCAATTCTTCTATGGACTTCCTTATTCATTGGGGAACCAAAAAACTCATGTGACTCACTTTATTGCAATATTCACATTATTGCTGTGGTCTGGAACCAAACCCATAATTTCTCAGGGAATAGGAGTCCTGTCAGGGCATTATGGACTAAGTCACCAAGTTGGTGGTTCAAACCCACCAGCCACTCCTTAGAAATCCTATGCAGTGTTGCTATGAGTTGGAACTGACTTGATGACAATAAGAACAACGTGCTTGTGTCAATTTCCAGGTTATTCTTCAGGACATTGGATGTGTCTGGGGGAAGGCCGAGGGGAGCGCCCAGTGAAGTGAGCAGTACCCCACTCGTCACACGGACCGGCGTCGTACCTGTCACAGTGTGAGGGTGCATGGGGTCAGTAGGCGTTGGAACAGGCGGATGGCAGAGGTATGTAGCACTTGGTAAATTGGAGGGTCAGTGAAAACAAGGACGCCCTCCAATGAGCTGGGCTGACACAGTGGGTGCAACAACGGACTCAGCAACAAGTGTGAGGACAGCTCGGTTGTTAGGTGCCGTTGCGTTGGTTCCGATTCATAGCGACCGTGTATCGGTAGAGTTTCTGAGCGTGACTACTGCGTTTCAATCGCGGAGCTTATGGTCAGCAGTCCAGTGGGTATGTTGTTGTTGTTGTTGTTAGTCTCATTGACTGAGTTGGTTCCGACTCAAAGCGACCCTGTTTAGGGGTTCCGAGGAGCAGCTGGTGAGTTTGAACCACCGACTTTGAGATCCAAGGCAACCTTGCGGTCCAGTGCATTATCCTACAGTGCCTCATCAGGACTCCCTGGGTATGTGTTGTTGTTGTTAAGTACCATTAAGTCGGTTCTGACTCATAAGGACCCTGTATAGGGTATCTAAGGAGCTGCTGGTGGGTTTGAACCGCCAACCTTGAGGTGTGCAGTCTAGTACTGCAAACCAGGAGTCCTGGGCATGTAGTAATTGGTGAAGTAGAGGGTCAGTGTGAAAGAGGAAGACCCTCAACGAGATGGATTGGCACAGTGGCTACAACAGCGGGCTCAAACACAGCACTGAGTGTGAGGACTCATTCCAGGCGCAGAGCCGGAACCTGACAGCAGCCACCACCCGACTGTGGACTCCAGGCTGCATGACAGCTCGTCATGGGGACCATGCCGCAGTGGAGGACCTGTATCCCGGCTCTGAGCCTGGGAGGACGGCTGAGCTGTGTTGTTGCCTGTGATTTCTCCACCACTAAGTAGATCCCCGAGCATTGTTAAATAAACATAAATTTAAAAAGAAAAGAAAGACCCCACAAGCATCTTAATAACGACTGATATCATAAATAAATCTATCTCTCCACGTGAGGGTGTGTGTGTGTGTGTGTGTGTGTGTCCCTGTGGTGGCTGTTGATTTTCATAATAAAGAAAACCTGTAAACGCCCCCCTGGGTATCCGAGAGTGTCTGTGGCTGTGGACCGAGGATCCAGGCAGCCAGGTAAGCACAGGCTTCCTTGTGCTTGCTTACTGATGTAGTGAACGGTTTCACATGGGTGTCATCATATAGTTCATGTTTCGAAAAACATGTGAAACTGTTCGCTGCGGATAAGTATGCACAAGGAAGCCGTGCTTACCTGGCTGACTGGACCCTCTGGTCCTGTCAGGTTGTGAATTTGAGAAAGACTTTGATTCTGGGGTGGGGGGAGAGACAGATGCCAGACAGAGCTAGAAGCAGAGTCTCTGATGTAAAAAAAAAATCATGAAACTGATCATTACAGGCTAGTGAGGAAGTACAAGGAAGCCTGTGCTTACCTGCTGGTGGGGTGCTCAGACACGGCCATAGATTGTGTGATCATGCTGTTAGAAATTAAAATGGGATTACTGTTATCTAAGACAGACAGACTTTTCCTGTGTATGCTGGTACACCAAAGTAAGAAAAACCAAGAAATGCCCAGTTTTCATCTTTGCCCAAGTCTCTCAGTAGACCCTTCCCACCGGCATTTCCCCTGTGTGGGTGAACTCCCTTGTCATCAGAGCTGGAGATGAGGGGCCACAGGGGGCTATGTCCCATTGGCAGCGTCCCACCTCACTGCCTTCACCCTACGGTGGTAGGAAACCAAAGTTGCCAACTGCCATCGAGTCCATTCCAACTCATAGTGACTGTGTGGGATTTCCACACAGGCTGTGCTCATCACAGAAGCAGACTGCTGCATATTTCTCCCATGAAGTGGTGCATGCGTTCACACGGTCAGCCTTTCAGTTAGCAGTTTTTAACTCACTGTATACCAGGGCTCCGGGTGATGGGGAGACCCGGCCCCCCAATGCCTCCCAGAGAATCTGAGCACCCTGTGAAACTGTAAAACATGAACAAATATCACCAAGGCTGGGGGCCACAGAACAGCCCCTGAATTGCTTGGTTCTTGGTGTTGTGTTGATGGAGTGTGGCAGTTCTGTGGTGGTCCCCGTGATGTGATCTGATGTGAATAAGATCCAATAATAGGATCAAACCCACTACAACCTCAACCGAAGTTAGGGAGTTTCCCAGGGGCGTGGCCTGCCAAGACTTGCATCTTACAAAAATAACTGGAGAGCAGAATCAGCGACCTACTGTCACCAAGAAAGAAGACCCGGGGAGCCAAGAGCCTCCTTTGGACCTGAGGTCCTGTCCCATGAAGTTCCTAGGTCCAGGGGGAGATTGATACCAGGACACACAGAGATCTCCACGGAACGTTCGCTGAGGCCACAGATGCTAGAAGGAGATGAGGCCCTTTCTCCAGAGCTAGGGCTCTGAATTCGAACTTGCAGCCTCCTGAGCTGAGAGAGTCCATTTCTGTTGGTTAAAACTATCCACTTGTGGTATCTCTGTTAGAGCTAGACAAGAACTGATGAACTACTTCCGACAATTCACCAACTAAGAGGAACAAGATTTATGTTCAAATGAGGGGGAAACCTGACACTCAGAAAGAAACTGGAATGCAAAGTGACCAAGAAAAGAATCCAGATCATCAAGGGAGGAGAGGAAGCTCGTGGGGCCTCTCCCACATCTGTCAGCCCCTGCCGCCCAGAGGGACAATCAAGCACGGGAATGGAAGCTGTCTCTTAGCAGCTCTGTGCTTAGATTCGCTCCTTTATTAGAAATATAAACAAACTCTGGTTTCTGTCTCTTTTTATTTGTCTTTTTGCATTTTGTAACAAATAATTTTTGGTAGCTCGTCTGTATTGTGTTTTCGATTCATAAGATGCACTTTCCTCACTTGGGCCTGCCCAGTTCAGCGTCTTGGTCAGGGATAGTTCTACCCACCAATTTCCTCAAACCCACCAGTGTCCACTACTTAAAAAACAAAAGCAAAACCCAAACCCCTTAATACAAAAGTGTCACTTCCCGGCTTCAAAATGACCAACTGGTCTCCCACAGAGTCCCAGCCCTGCCCTGCCCGGCCCACTCAACTCCTTCTGCCCCATGGGTACCAGTTCTTAGGAGTGGGCAGACAGGGACCAAAGGGTGGACCGAGGGCTATGGCTCCGTCTACACCTTCTCTTTGAATCTCTCCAGGTAGGCTCTCAAGTCTTTGGAGCTGCCTGCATCGCGGCCCATCCACTTGACGTCTTCCTCGTTCCCGCCCAGGACGGAGTTGACCGTGGGGCAGCCATTATCCGGGGGGATGGTGGTGAAGGTGGTGAACTTGACCCGCTTCCTCCGGGAGGTGGGGGAGTGGGGGGGCTCATCCCGGCCCCCAGGGTCTGCGATGTGGCGAGGTTGGCCCTGCTTCGGGGAAGTGTCCCTGAGAAGCAGGTTGCTCTCCTCGCAGCCGCCCAGCCTGCGGTCCAGGATGGTGGTGTGCTCGTCCTGGGGTGGGGACAGGTCCCCCCCAGCTTCCAGGAGCTCTGCCTGGTTCCCCAGCCAGACCCAGTCGTGCGAGTGGGTCACGGGGGCCTGGCCCTCCAGGGGCACCTGCTTGTCCCTGAACTTGAGGGCGAAGGTGGCACAGTTGATGAGGAAGACCAGGATGGCTAGGCAGAAGACCCCAAGCAGGGCATACATGCCAATCTCCAAGTCGCTGAGGCCACGGGGTGTGGGCACCAGCCCGCTTTCCTGCAGCCCGGTCCCCACCCGAGGTGCGTCCACCTGTGCCGGGAAGTTGGTGAAGTCGATGGGGATGTTCTGCAGCTGGTCCTCGCCGGGCAGCCGATCTCCGTCCAGTAGGCCGGTCCTCACCGCCTTGTCTAGTAGCGAGCGTGCCGTGGTGCTGGCTTTCCTAAGGGCCCCCTCCTCACGTCCCCCCGAAGAGCTGCCCAGAGGGGGGTGCCCATCCTGGCCCTTCTGCCGGCGGTCACTGGCATGGTTCTCGATCTGCTCATCCTTGTCAGTGTCCCCGCCGGGGCTGGACTCGGCGCCGCTCTGCCCAAACTTGACCCTGATGTTGCCGACACCCACAGCCAGCACGCTCTTGCGCTTGAACTTCTGGCAGGTCTCTGCAATGGTCATGTCCACGCGGACCAGTGGGCCCTGGCCCTCACCCTCAGCCACCACCACGGGCCACCTCAGGGAGCGGCCCTGGGGGACCGAAACAACAGCCTCATCCAGGGAGGTGGCGGTCAGTGAGAAGTCCTTGGTGTCATAAATATCCAGGGGTGTGACAGAACCGTCACTGAACTGGAGCCACGTGCTGATCAAGGCTTCCTGCAAGACAGGGACAGAAAGCATGAGAGGCGCCCACCTGGCCCTCCTGGAACCCAAAGGGGGCATCCAGACCATAGAAATCACCTTCATTTAAACAGGCACACTTGGGATCCCACAATGCACCAGAAACCACACCTTGAGTGCTGGGCTCCAGCTAGCTACGTTTATTACAAAGACACCCATGGCCACGTTCACCAGTGTTGTGAATGGACCTGACTGCCAGCCAAGAGGCCAGAGGTTCAAGTCCACCCAGAGAAAGGTCCGGAGATCTGGTAAACTGGCACGGGAGACCCCATGCAGCGCAATTCTCCAACACACACAAGGGTACCGTGAATTGGAGTGGACTTTTGGGGTTTAGCTTTCTCTGGAACCAACGAGGCAGATGGAGAAAGCACAGGCAACTGCCCCCCACTCCTGGGCTCCAGGTGGCTTCAGGTTTTGCATCTAAGGGTGACCGTATTAAGCATGAAGCCAGGCTCTGACAGGCCACAGGTGGAGGAAACACGGAGGGTTCATTCAGTAGGCAATTCATCTTGGCCACCTGCTCATGGTAAATAATCTGTCTTCCCAAACTAGGTGGAGCCCCGTGAATGGCAGATGATTTGAGCTCACCTCTCCACGTGCCCCAGGATTGCCTAACATCTCCATCAGTCCTATCACAAGAAGGACTCGGATCTCCCAACAGCGCCTGACGGCAGCCCGGAAACACAGAACTTTCTCTGGAGAAGCCGGGCCTTTCCCCAAGACAAGAAATTGACTGGCCCCCAAAGTTCCCATGCCAGGACTGACTTAGAATGCTGCAGCACGGAGGAAAATGGCCCCAAATCCCCCAGCCTCAGGCCTCCCAACTGAGGCCCCCAAGTGCCATCAGCGAGGAAGGCCGACTGGGAAGTGGAGGCCCTGCCCCAGGCCAGTCGTCCACCTGAATTCACACCCACCCTCAGCACATCCCAGCCGCTTTCTGCGTTCCCACCTAAACACACACACGGCCAGTTTCCTTCTTCATGAGTCGGAACCGACTTGACGGCACTGAACAACAACAAGGAGAGAAAAGCCAGGTTGGCTGAACCCGGGACTCAGTGAGCAGACTCTAGACACCAGCCAACAGAAGTCACAGCTGCCCCCTGGTGGTAGGTTCTAGGACAGCCCCCCACCCAGGACGATCCCCGCCCCAGGAGCCCGGGTAAGCGGTGAGTGGCCACCTCGGTGGTGAGGTTGGCTGATGTGTTCTGCTGACCCTGAGGTAGGGAGATCGCCCTGGGTGATCTGTAATTAGCAGCCATAAACCAGTTGCCATTGAGTGGACCCTGACTCACGGCGCCCCCATGGGTGTCAGAGCAGAACTGCGCCCCACAGAGTTTTCAGTGGCTGATATTTGGGGAGCAGATCTCCAGGTCTTTCTGCTTAGGTACCTCTGTGGGCACATTTAGAGCAGGTCAAAGAAAGGCAGGTGACCTGACTGAGATGTGTCCACGTTGGCCTGCATTGTTGCCTGAGAGGAACGCCTTCGTCTGCAATGGCTCTGGCGGCTCTGCCCACTCCCTCAGGCCCACGCACCCTTACCCTTACCTGTTTCGGGGTCCGGAGCTGCTCCTCAGCAGTGGTCACTGCGGTGACGGCCTTGCTGTTCTCTGCAATGGGGTGGAGGGTGACCGCTAGCCCGGCCACTAGCTGGAGGGCCAGGTCTGTCACTGTTACTTTGTCATCCAGCACAGTCACCGTCTTCTCCGCCAGGATGGAGTCTGACAGAGGGGACAGCACCTGTGGGAGGCCAGGAGGCCCACGATGACCACACCTAGTCCAGGAGCCTGCTTACTGGCCAGCCTTTCCCCACCGCACACTCACCCCTGAGATAAGGATGAAAATCTACACCGTCCCTAAAGGGGAGCCGCTTTCACTCAGCTGATCCCCCCTGAGCGCCCCCTATGTGAACGACAGGGTTCCCCAGGGCTGAAACACAGGCAGCCGCCCAGATAGCTTGGGTTTGGTTTCACAGCACCACAATCAAAATCTCAATCAAGCGAGTCCCACCAAGTGTGAAAAGTGATGTGGTCACTCGACTGTAGTCCGTGAAGTGTGCAAACAGCACAGGCTGGACGCAGGGTCTCCACAGACCTTCCAGTTGTAAAAATCACAGCCC